CCGGGGCAATGCCTCTGACTGAAGTGTCTTTAGGCCATTCCCAAAGGGGGGATATTAACATGTTCTTAAGCACAATAGAATTGTAAATGGGCTGATTTTTCAATGTCATGCTCCTTCAGTGCCGAAACAACGTAGAGGAAACTACTGCTTTTTCTTTCCTCATCCATACAATCATCTTTTTCCTCTATTTCTTTTGTATGATTGTCACTCTCTTGTTAACTGGTATTTCCGTGGTGCCTTGAAAGTCGAAGCAGACTGTGCTCTGTAGAGGCTAGAGAGGAGAGTAGAGTAAGTCTGATTCCCCGTTTGGACTTTTCGGTGGACATCCACCCATTGGCGCTCATATGACCTTATGCAGTTTCGAGCGCCGTAAAAACGTTACTAAAACTAAAAACTAATAATGAATAAGCTCTAAGATTATACCAAAGAAATGTTATACATAATGTACGTGCGCCCAAAATAACGAGCGCCTGATTCCACAGTGTCGAGACACATTTTGCCTGCACAGAGAGACTGAACCTAAGAAGACAGACATAAATCTTTGCTCCAGATTTGCATGCATTATTTATAACGGGAGTGAGAGGTCGAGGTTTTTTTCTTAGCCACACCTTTTATCCCCCCTGCTCACACCCTCCCCCGAATCCCATCCCATCCCATCCCCAGTTCCACACCACTCCCCATATTATACTTGTGTATCTGTGTGTGAGTGTATTGGTGTGTATGTGTTGTGTTGTGTGTGTGTGTGTGTGTGTGTGTGTGTGTGTGTGTGTGTGTGTGTATGTGTATGTGTATGTGTATGTGTTACAAACGTTTTGCAGTCCAACTTAGAACATTCCTCTCGCCGTCAGTTCCCTGTCTATACTGCCAAGTTCTGCTGTCCAATAAATCTGCTTCTGGCAGAACAAAATCTGCTCACGTAGGACAAAAATACCCTTGTTTCGCTTTTAGTTTTAGTTTTAGCAAGGTTTTACCACGCTTGCAACTGCATAAGGTCATATGAGCGCCAAGGGGTGGATGTCAACAGAGAAGTCAAAACGGGGAATCAGGCTTACTCTGCTCACTGCTCACCTCTCTAGCCTCAACAGCACAAATTCTACTTCGACTATCAAGGCACCCCGGAAATTACAGTTCACAAGAAAGTGACAAACATACAAAAGAAGTAGACGAAAAATGCAAAAATGACGATAGCAAGGATGAGGGGGAAAAGCAACAGTTCCTCCTATGTTTTCCCGTCACAGTATGAGCATGACACTGATGAATCAGCCAATGTACAATTCTACTGTGCAAAAGAACATGTTGAATCCCCCCTTTGTGAATCGTTTTTCCCTGACAGAACATTTTGAATCAGTTCCAAAGCTCAAGTCCACTCAAGAACACTGATTAGTTTGGTTCGGTTGATTCCCCCTAATAGGTATGTTAATCTATCGCAGAGAACAAAAACACGCAAGCTCGCTCCCGCACGCAAACGGGTACACACACACACACACACACATACACACAAACACACACACACACACACACTCACAAGTACACACAAAAACACAGGTACTCACACATACGCGCACTCACACAACATGACATTAACACAAACAATGAGAAAGAGACAGAAAGAGAGGGGTGTGTGTGTGTGAGTGTGTGTGTGTGTGTGTGTGTGTGTGTGTGTGTGTGTGTGTGTGTGTGTGTGTGTGTGTGTGTGTGTGTGTACGCCCGTGCGCGTATTTTTATATGTGTGTTTGTGTAGAAAAAAGGAGAATTTGAGCGGCTATTATCGTTGATTCAATCCAGCACTTTTAGACGGACCAGGATCACCGAGCATGATTATGATTATACATCGAAGTCATAAAACATATCATTGATCATCAGAGAGTTCCCTGACCATCTGACATCATTTATGTATTGATGAATCACCGAACACTGTTGATGTTTTGTGTGTCATTCATCTCAATTCTTTTCCTCTGTC